ATTACCAGTGTAACTACTAAAATTTCTGAGATTATCTTATATTTAAAAGTGAGGTCTACTTAGATGGAGGTGATTTGGAAGATAATTTATTCAGTATGTCCTAGATTTAGAGCACTTATTCAGTGGTGCTCACAATTGTTTTATTTTGTCATCCCATGAATTTAGATATTTTAATTTCTAATATGTACTAATCCCATACTAAGTTATTTTGGTACTATGCTGACTAAATTTCTAAGCAGTATTTAAAGCAATCTTACAGACAATTTAAAGTATGTATAGATTTAATTTTGGAAGTCCTCTTATGTTCTAACAGAATCTTTTCTACTAAGAATCTTCATTCTAAAGTGACAACTTTTCTGTTGTCCTGATACTCCCGATGATCAATACTCAAAGGAAACAGTGCATGTATATTCCCATGTGCCTCAGTCTATTTCACACACTCTAGATCATTAAAACAGAGGTACAGCAATAGGTAGGTAGGTAGGTAGGTAGATTATTGTCTTACATTTAAGCCTGTTTCCCTTTCTCTCTCTCTCCTCCACATACTCAACATAATAGAGTGACAGCACCCACTTCTCTTTAGGTGAATTTCATGTTATTTTTCAAAAATGGGTGCTTTCTATTATAAGAAGTCTCCAATTTAAAAACAACAACAACAAAAACAGAACAGAGAGTGGATGTTTACTTTCAAAATGCAAAAGAATTTGTCAAAAGATCATTTTAATGTAATGAGTCCCTCTAATAATTTTTATATTTTACAGAATTTGGTAAGATACTGAGGTTTTAGAAACTCAATTATTGTATTTTGCAAAGAATACCAGTATAATTATACTTGTTCTTAATTATCAAATTTAAAACAAATAAAATAGATATGCAATTGCCTTGTATGTTTTGGTAATATAACTTTAGTTTTAATCTTTATATGACTATGACCTAAGACCAGAAAGTAAAAAACATGGCTAATCCTGTTTTTTTCTTTTTCAGCACCTCTGGAATATGATTTTTAGATATTAGCCTCATCAATTCTGAGAAAGCATTAAAAAAAACCTTTTAAAAGTAATATCCCATACTAAAATGTGTAAAAGTAGTTCTGTCTCTCAAATAATTCTGATGATATTTTTAAATGAGTATAAACCATATAGAGAATAATCGAACATGTCATTGCAATTAGCATTTCACCAAAAATAAGAGGGAAAAATGCATGGAATATAATGAAAATGGGCTCAGATTTACAAGGTGAAATCTTTGAAACTAATGAAGTACCTCAAATTTTCTGTAAAAATTAATAAAATAAAATATACAAAGATTTTTATATCTTGTATCACTGTAACTCGTCTTACACTTAAAAAATATTTATTTTAATAACTTAAAAAACATAAAGATTCTTCATTATGTTTTATTCATTGTGGTCATTAGTTTCTAGCACAATTACTAAAATAGCTGAGAATATCTTATATTTGAAATTGAGAGTTACTTAATTTAAGGTGACATGCAGATATTTTATTCAATATCTTCTATAATCCAAGAACCAATTTCATAGGTGTTTAAAATTAGTATATCTTACATTCCACAAATTTTGATATTTTATTTTATGATATATATTAATTCCATATTGTTACTTTTATTCTATGAATTTATAAGTAGTGTTTAAAGCAATCCTACAGAAAATATTTAATCTATATAAAAAAATTATAGATGCTATACTATAACACTTTCACATACCCAATATGTTTAGAAAAGAAACCCACAAAAGTGTAACTAAACAATTATAGAGAATTAAATATTAGTAAATGCTAACAATGCTAAATCTCTTAATAAACAAAACAAGGATCAATAGTTTTATTAAATTTTACTACTTCAACCAAAAGGCTTTCTTTCTCTTCTAATCAACCAGTCTTACTAAGGAATAATTATTTATATAGTAACATAAACTAGTGAATATGCCTTTTACTTATCTATCACTTTGAAAAGTTTACAGAGTGCTTCACATGCATAATAAATAACATTTTCAGCCGGTTAAATCTTGGTATAGATAATGACAATTTAAACCCTTAAAACACATAAACTATAGCTAACCCATTCTACAAAGCATGGTAGATTCAATGATATTCTAAATACCGGATGTCCCTGTTTCATTTTACACCGATTCTATGTACTACAATTTGATTTCATGAAAATTTCAAGAACTTAGCATTTGTATTTTCTTCAAATAAGTACAATCACACATTTCTCTAGAAGCAGAGTTTCAAAAATATTGTCTTAAAATTCTATAATAATAGACAAAATACTGGAAATCTAATATTAAAAGGACTAGGAAGGTAGGTTTTTATAGTTTCTAAATAGATTTAGTATTGTACCAATGATCCCACTGAAATACAATGAAATATTAAGAGATATACATGGCTATTCAAGATGTCAGGTCTTCAAATAAATAATAGCTATTTATGCTATATCCATACTTGGTATATTATATCATGACTGAAAAAATTCCTAACTCTTGTACTAACTGAAATTATCATGTACTGTACATCTGATTGATTTCATATAAAAGATGAGCCATTACCTTAGTGAAAGACGTAACATTGTAAGCAATAAATTTACATACACTAGTTAAGAAAACTCTGAGTTTATATTTTAAAGATGTATTTTTAAAATAATTAAACAATATTAATGGGTAGGAGTATTTGGGACTTAAAGTCAAACATATTTCATATCCAAATCATATTTTATTTAATAGACAAACTTTCTGAGCAAAACCATCTTTGGATAGAATTTTCTGCTATATCCCCTGTGTTCACTGAGACAACTAGGCAGCAGGGAGAGCTGCATATGTCATTATTTTACAGGACAGACCAGTGGATGTGGAACACCCGTGTTATTGCAAGGAAGCCTCACACCCTAGAGTTCAGCATTAGATAGCACCAGCCATCTATGCTGAGGCATGTAGAATTACAAGGAAAAAGTCCAAATCCTTCCACTGTCTCCCATGATTAAATTTGCTCAAACCACAGGATAAAATGTCTAAATGAGAAAAACCAATTGAGGACCAGCTATTAGTTGCTCACATTAGGTTGTCTCCAAAACCCAATCCTCTGGTCTTCAGCTTGCGAGACTACAAACCTGAGAACAGAGCAGCTGAGGTCTAGCAGGTACCAGCACTGAGTGGACACCGGGGTCTCCTTATAGGGTCCCTTGAGATATCCCTGAAGTTCTGCGCTTTCCTCTACTCTGTGTACGTATTCCTGACTGTCAGGGATCCCAAAGTGACTCTGAGCATGCCTGGGTTTCTTCAAAAGATTCTTGTGGCAAGATACAGTTGCCTTCATGTGGACACAGCTGACCAGGAGCTGTCGTTTACGGGAAAGGAGAGGGAGGAGGGGGTATTGGCACAACCGACGGCAATTCATTGTTACTGACCGAAGCAGAGGAGCAATTACAAGCACTGCCCTGGGGCACAACCGCAAAAGTCCACTCCTCCGGGAGCAAACCTGCGAGGGTAACGACCGCACCCTGCCTGCTAAACGTACACCTACGTGTCCTTCAGGACTCACCTCAGAGGAATCCGTTTCTTTAGGAAACATGATCGCCGCCCCCTACTCCTGCATTAGGGGTTATCCCTGTATAAAGCTGTGAACTTAATCAGATTAGACCTGTAGCAAGCACTGCTGGAATGGGGTATTTGCTGGGAAAATTCCAGCAAACAGAGATCGTGAGTATTTTATTTTTATGTCCCCAGGACCGAGCCCACTGCCTAGCACATAATAAGTGCTCAATAAATATTCGCTGAATGGAAATTGACTGAAAAAGGTCCCCCCACCACATGTGGTACATCTGCCACACTAATGATTTGGAGGTGGGGAAGAGGAGATTCCTTAAGAGGCACCCAGGCTTACTTGTTTGTTAAAAAGAAAGAGAGAGAGAGACCAATAGCTTGAGGTGAAAATACCATGATACAGTCTCCTCAATGCTGGAATGAATGCAATTATACCATCAGAAAACATCAGTGATCCTGCCATCACTGGTTAAATGACACCTCTGCGGACCGATGCATGGAGACCTACATCATTTATTATGATAGTGTTTTACTGTCATAAATACTTAAAACCAAGAAATCTGGTTTAAGAAAAAAAATTTAAAATACCTGTATATTTCTAAGACTCCATATTTTATATGTTAACCTTATTTGAAGCTTTCAAATGACTAAAACTATTTATTCTCTTACTAGTATTTTGTTACGAAGTATTTAAAATTGGTCTAACTATTTAGAATAGAATAACATATCCCTGAAATAAAAACATTGTTTTATATGTGGATCGCTTTCTCCAGGAAAAAAAAAAAAGTTCATTCCTTCCTTTGGAAAAATGGTTTTCCAAAGGGAAATTCAATTTTTAAAAGTTGCTATGAAAAGATTTCTGATGACACAGAAACATACATTTACTTCATCAACAGATATAAAAGGATTTCCTATATATACAACATTAATAAGATTTTTATGAAAGGCCTGTAAAAAACTTGAAATCTCTACACACTTTCCTGTCATTTATGGAAGACAAAAAGCATTAGTTTACTCTCTGCCTCTTTAACCTATTTTTATGAAACACTCTTGAAATAACAGGGGGACATTCGGGGTAAGAACTGAAACGTGTACTTTGGATACATTTTATAGACAAAAGATGTGATCAAGGCAACTTTAGTCAGAGAATAAAGTAAGCAGACTTGAATGTTTATCACAATTGCACATAAAGCCTGATTAAACAGTCAGAAGGCAAAGGGCTGCATGTACAGAGCGCAAAATACAGTCTCTTAATCCGCATGCTTAGGGTTGTCACCTTCGTTCTTAGATGCAACCGCATAAAAGCCGAATATAAGTAAACTATGTGTCATGCTCTGTCTTTCCCCTACGACCAAACTGTTCAAAACTTTCAAAGTCTCTGAATCACTACACATTTTTACAAAGCCAGAGAAAAAGAAAAAGAGAAATGATTAATTTTTAAAATTACCCAGCAATTCCATTGCTTCGTCTTCGTTATCAATGTCGTCTTCTGTTACAGACGCGGGAGGGCTGTGGACGGACTCAAAAGAATCCTGGGAGAGCATTGCTGCCAGCAGCTTCTTGTGTTGCTGTTGCTGTTGTTTTAACCCCTTAGTCTTGGGTTCCACCTTTAAGCTGAAGAAATATTTAAGGATTAACTTTCAATGATGGTGGCATGATGCATGAGCTGTGGTGAGTAAAGAAAATCGACAAACATTTTACTCAAGTATTTTGCTATGCAAATGCATGGACTTTTAAGCAAAGTTTTCCCCAAGGACAATGAATATATAGGCCCTGTCTTCTTTCTTAGACATCCTTTGGTACCTCATTTCTCAAGTTTTTCATTTTAATAAAGTCCAGCTTATCAATTATTTTTTACATGGGTTGTGCTTTTGGTGTTGTATCTAAAAAGTCATAGCCATACCCAAGGTCATAAAGGTTGTGTACTGTTATCTTCTAGGAGTTTTATAGTTTTGCATGTTACATTTAGGCCTACGATCCATTTAGAGTTAAGTTTTGTGAAGGGTGTAAGGTCTCTGTCTAGACTCTTTTTTTTACATGTGGATGTACAGTTGCTCCAGTACCATTTGTTGAAAAGGCTACCTTCGCTCCATTGGATTGCCTTGGTTCCTTTGTCCAAGGTTAGTTTACTGTGTTTATGGGCTATTTCTGGGATCTCTATTTTTAAGGCTTCTGTTCTTTAATTCCTTTGGCAGGCTGATTTTTGATTAATCAACATTTTTTATGCTTAAAATTTACATGTTAGAGGATTCCTAAATTAATAACTTTGGTTTAGTCTCTGCCATATGTATTATATATTTCTATCATGTCTACATAGTCAAAATCCAACATATTAAGGTTCTTTGTCCTTGGAATTCTTAGTAAAAGAGTCCCCTCCCTCCATCCATTTGTTTCCCTTCTTATTCTGGTTTATTTTCTATCATCCTACTTATCACTAGTTGAATTTATGGTTTATATTTTTATATTCATTTGTTTTGTTTGTCTCTTGCTACCAATAAAAGGAACTCTAAGAAGAGGGGAACATTTCCAGCCTTTGTTTGTAGATATAGAAAAACAATGATGAGTTTTAATGAAAAGGGAAACTTCTTAATGGAAAGTGATTTTGGCTTTTATTTTAATAATAATATCTTTCTAAGTCATAAGATTTTCTATTCATTTTATAGCCTATTTACCATCTAATAACAATGCTCAGTTAGCAAATAAAGCTAATTAACCAGATGTATATTATCTATTGATACTGTTCTTGTTTTAATGATGTGGTTCAACTTAGAGAAGCTTCATTAGGCTTTCAGGTCTTGATGAGCCTATTTACAAATTCACATTACAATTCAGCAAGTAATTTTAAGAACTCCATTGCCCAGCTATTGCAAAGTCTAATTAAGATGGGGCTTAAGATAGAATTATATAGTTTTATAAACTTAATTTTTGTTTAGTTTATATTATAAATGTGTGATTATTTTTAATAACTCTAATTGTACAACAAACATATATGTTTTCCCCCTAAATAGCTAAACAAACCATAGCAATTAATGCCAATTGGTAGTATCTGACAATCGTGGAAAACCTTCAATCATTCCCCAACATGTTCACCTCTCTCTTTTGTGATCACTCTTTCTTTTATAGCTCAGATGCTTTAATTATGTTCTTTAACTGTCTTAATTTAGAACCACTTTGAGCATCTATAAAAGATGTGGCATAAAAATACAGGAAAATGTCCATGTGCACATACACACGACAGTTTGCACGTAATTTCAAGAGATCCAAAGATCTCTTGAGTCCATACAGAGGCCATATAGGGGTCACGAACTCCATGTTAGTAGCTTTTGTCTTATTCTAATAGCTTCTCCATATTGTCTTCATAATTGCCTTTGTTTGAACCAGCACATAACCCTTCCGGTAACAGCAATGCGTACTAAAATTGTTGACCTTTTCCATACAGTGCTGTATTGCAGAGCCTAAGGTAAAAAGTTCAGATAAGGTATACCAAAAAAAAAGCTCCAGGGAAAAACTGTGGGTAAGTTTCTACCCATAAGACTCTTAAGGTTCACTATGCCTTTTATTTAATTCTAATAAAGGTAAAAGTCCAGCCTATTGTGTATATAGTATCCGAATGAAAGGGAAAGTTGGCTAGCCATTCAAATAAGATTTGAGCATTAAACAGTAGGAGAGGCTAAGATAGAAAAAGGGGCAAAAAGCTAAGGTGGACGATAAACGATCCTTCTTATTAATAAGCTTCATTTAGCAGACGTCTATCGAAAGCCTCCCAGGTGCCTCCTTCACTCACATAACAGATGTCTACTGACAGGGTGCTGGGCCCAGTGGGGGAGAGAAAAACGGAAGAAGTCATCTTTGAAAATTACACCTTTTCTTTCAGGATTCTAGAATATCATGTAGTCTGTGAATGCTTATGACTGTTAAGTTACATTACAAGTTCATTACTATTTAAGGGCAAAGCTAACACTATAGCTGCAAACTGTAGAGTCATTTAAAAATTTCTTCTCAACCCGTTCTCATTCATCCAAGTCAAATCTAATGCTGTGGGAGTGCCTGGTATAACTTCAGAAATCCTGTTTTATATTAGAAGATGGGAGAGATATAGTTTCTAATCCACAGTTTATTGCTATTCTTTAAATTTAGTTCAGATACACATGCATTCTTTCAGCTCTCCTGGGGCATCTGGGCAGGACTGAGCCACTTTCTTCCTTTCATAGGTAATACCTCAACTCACAATTTAAAGCTAGAGAAAAATAAAACAGAAAACATTTTTTTAAACAAATATTTGAGAGAGATACTTATGGATTGAGTTTCTATGGGTAAGGGACTGAACTAGAATTACAGGAAAGATTCCCTTTATGGGTATTCAGGAGGAAACAAGGGCCCACTGAAGCTAGGAAGAAAAAAGAAACACTGACATTCACAATAAATAGCTCCGATTATTATTATGACTAAATGAAAGCAAAATGAAAATTGACATTTCTCTATTTTACATTTAAGGACTAAAGATCTAGCAATGAATAAAGATAAAGGTCTAGCAGGTTTCATAAGCCTGATATTAAAAATAAAATTACCCCCATTGACAGGTGAAATTGATCTGGCATTTCACAAAAGAAGGTAAATGGAATTTTAAAAATGGTTTTATTCTCCTTACATAAGAAACTCAAACTATTTAAATAATTTAAAAGTTATTTCTCATGGAAATAGAATCCATTTTCTATATGCCTAAAGCACATTAATGAGTATTCTGAATTTCCTTCCTTCCAGCCAAGTGATAAGTCAAAGTAAAAAAACCCTGAAAGCTATTACATTGTAGAAAATACAATTTTCTCCTTGAGAAAGAAGTTATTGCTTGCTGCTAAATTTAACATAGGATATACAAAGTTACTGTGGCTACGCTATGCATAGGAAAAGCTCTTCTGTGGTGCTCAGCTAGTAACACTCGCAGGAAGTTTTAGGTCCTGCCACAGTTCGGCTCATGAGTATTTATATCCATTCTCTCAATCTCGGGTATGCCATGCTTCACATAACGCCTTTCACTCCAACTTCCTTATAGAAGTTTTCATTTTTGTTTAGAGTTTTACTCATTGCCATTGTTATTATAAAAAATGGCTATTTGAAATAGACTTTTCCTAATAAATATGATCTGAACATTTCCCTTCTATCAGCATATGGAAACTTAAGGCAAATCTCTCATCACCATTAATGAAATATGGACTCTCAAATTACAAAGCATAATTATTTTAAACATTAAACAAAGGAAATGTAAAAGATTATATATAATCATACTTATTAACTCTAAACTTAAATGGCTCTAAACAAAGGTTTCTCTCTCTTTATATTCCACTTTAACATTGCCTTGTATGGTCTGTTATACATTTAATAGTTTTTTCTTCCCTGTTGACTATATGTCTCTTGTCCATCAGAAGTCCTCCCTCTTCAATTCTTTTTTAAATTAAATGTATTGGGGAAACACTGGTTAATAACAGTATATAAATTCCAGGTGAACAATTTCATAATACACCGTCTGTATATTGCACTGCGTGCTTACCACCCAAAGTCTTGTCTTCCTCCCTCACCATCTATTTGACCCCCTTCACTTTCTTGGTTCCCTTTTCACTCCCCTTCCCCTCTGGTAACCACGACACTATTGTCTGTGTCTATGAATTTTCTGTTTTTTGTTTTATATCCCTTGGTCTCAGAGGGATTTTTTGTGAACTTGACCACAAAGGCAAGGAAAGTAAAAGAAAAATAAATGAACAGGACGACATCAAACTAAAAAGCATCTGCACAGCCAAAGGAGCCATCGACAAAACAACACAGCAACCAACCGAATGGCAGAAGACATGAGCAAACTTACCTCCAATAAGGTGCTAACATCCAAAACATATAAAGAACTAATAATAATATAACGCAACAACAACCAAGGCAACAATCCAATAAAGAAAAGGGTGGCAGAGGACATGAACTGACACTTTTCCCAAGAAGACATACAGATACATGAAAAGATGCTCAACTTCACTGGCTCCATGGGAAATGCAAACGAAGCCCGCAGTGAAATACCACCTCACCCCTGTTGGAATGGCTGTTATCAGTAAGTCAAGAAATAACAAGTGCTGGAAAGATGTGGGGGAAAGACACCCTCACACACTGCTGGTGGGAACGTAAATTGGCACGGCCACTATGGAAAACAGTATGGAGGTTCATCCAACAATTAAGAACAGAGCTACCATATGACCCAGCCACCCCTCTTCTGGGTATCTACCCGAAAAGACACAAACATTTATTCATAAAGATACATGTACCTCCAGTTCTTAACAGTCAGCCATTCCCTGCCCAGTATGATAGAAAATCTCAACTGACGGTTTATATCCTTGAAATCCTTTCTCTATTTGGTATTAGTAACAAAGACATGGTCATCTTCTTAGAAGCAAAGAAAAAAAAAATCATCAAAACCAAAATCTAAAAGCAAATCTAGTAGCACTCTAATTTGAAAACAGAGAAATTAATTTTTATCTTGTGGAATCCAACACAATTTTCCATATAAAATTGCTAAGAGTTATTTCAACAAAATCATGCACTTGGATTTGTCTTCCCTTCACCTGGTAACGACTGGTAATATTCGGACCCTTGGATGCCATCTCGTCTTACCTTCCTGCGGGGCTGGAGCTGCTGTCTTCACTCTCCCATTGTTCGTTTTTACTTCTGGGAATTGGGGGCTGTAGCATTTCGGCCGCTAACGGATCAGCATCGTTCTCTTCTCGACCAATCCATTCTCCGATCACACGGGGTCTCAGAAGAGAGGAGTTAAACGCCACCGTTTCCTGAAGATGAGAAAAGAATGTGCCAGCTCAGGTTATTTCCTCTTATCAATAGGATGAGGGAATTTGTCTGGAGTTTCAACTGCTTCCTCAAAGCAAAACGTTCCTTTTTTCTTTCTGAATTAACTTGAAACCTCGGTGCTTTCCATCTCACTAGATGACTTACTGAATTAACGTAAAATTTCAGTTCCCTCCGTCTCTACTAGATGACTCGCTCTGTGTGCTTTGTGCTGATTTCGGAAGGTCACTGTCACAGTGACGTCTCTGACTTGGATTTGGGAGGCCGCAGGTGTGTTCTCAGGAAGGAGGGAGGGGGTGAGCATTTGTGGTGGAAGGAAGGGTGTGTTTTGAGGCCCACAGAGTGAAGGAGCTTGGTGTTGCTGGGAAATGGGAAATGATTTTGCAGGAGGAAACTGGAATGCAGTCAGGAAATAAGGAAGGGAGGAGACAGGCCTGGGAGGTGCTTTGCCTCCAGTTGTGAAGCGTTCGAGACCTTTAGGGATCCAGCTGAAGTTTAAACCAGGGCAAGAGCAATGACAGGTATGAGATGCTAATTCAAAACATGTTAAAGTGACCTCTTTTCAGAGACTTGGATACGATGTGGCTCTTTAAATGATATTTTTCCACATGTCAGTTAATCATTTAAATCAGGGGTGGGGAACCTTTTTTCTGCCAAGAGCCATTTGGATATTTATAACATCGTTCTTGCACCATACAAAATTATCAACTTGAAAGTTAGCTATGAAAAAAGCTCCTAGATTTATTGAATTTTTGAGTCTTGCCTGTGGTTGCCTTGGCAGGGCCAGACCAAGTGATTTTGAGGGCTGTACACGGCCTGAGAGCCAGACGTTCCCCACCCCGATTTAAATGATATGATAATACTGATACGTGTAATTGCTAGGAATATCTTGGTAAGTGGAAAATGCAGGTTAAAAAAACAAAACCTATTGTATCATCTAATTTTGTTTAAAAATTCTAATAGATGTATATCCATCATTCATACAGGAATCAATTAATTCATTTTCTTATCTTTATTAAGACCTACTATGTGCCATATACTGCTTAATTTGTTGGGGAAAACAATTGTAAAACTAAAATTTAATAGTTTTATCTGGATGCAGAAACCACAGGTTAATTTTAATTTCTTCTTTTGGCATTTCCATGTTTTTTCAATGCTCTATGATAAATGTACATTAGTCTTATAGTGAGAAAAAATGCAATTTAAAAATATCATGATCTGAGGAACATGGGCTTTGCTTAAATTATGTTTAGCTATAATTTTTAGCATTACAAGAATCTTGAAAAAGTCCTTAAAAATTTAGACCTGGCCTTCTGAGTCTTTACAGTTCTCAAAAACAATAGACAAATAAAACAATACAATACAAATACAGTATTACATCATATACAATGTAATTTTAATTAATATACAAATACAACACCAAAAGCAATATGTGAAATGTGATTAGGATTAGGACATATTGGATGAACATTTATCCAAGTGACAAGCCCAGAAAGTACTTGGATATCTCAATATTAATTCCTGGCCTATATGAAGATGTAGCAGATATTTTAGTAATAGTGTTTGCATAACTTAGCAACTATTCTGAACTCCTTCCATATTTATATTCCCAGAGTCAGAAAATCAAAGCACTATGGCTTTCAGCTGTGAAGTCATGCAATCAAATTAATGTTTTGAAATATCTTGAAAGACATATTCATCTCCCACTATTTAATATCTGAAGTACAAGAATTAAAATTAGCATCAATATTGTTAAATTTTAAACCTAAATTTGTGCCTGAAAGAAAATGGAGACAGAGACATGTTTTAGGGTGAAAAAAAATCTATAAACATATCTACAGCTTCAGAATGAGTTTTGGTGTGTGTCTTTGAAATGTTACTTGTTCTCTGAATTTCATTTCCTCCAGCTGTAAAATGGTGATGATGGGAATTACAAAACCTGTTGTATCAGATGAATTATTAGGGTAGCACAGTGAAGCCAAAGAATTCTGTACGTATGCTAGACAGACCATCACTTAAAAATGTGAATTATATCAAACCACTTCTCTACGTGTGATATACCTGGAAAAAAACGGTAAAGGGAACTATAGGCATGGGCCAGGTGGGTAAGAATAGATGCTTACTTGTAAATATGGGCAGAGAAACAGCGCAGAGAATTGATGAGGCAGGATTCATCCCATAGGGTTTTATTTTATAGATAGTATATTTCAAAGATTGGATAATTAATTCCATTTTATTATTCTCATTTATGTCACGGGGCAGAATTGGGCTTAAAGATTTGTCTTACTGTAGGCTCAACAGATAAGAAACTGACCATTGTGACGAGCAATGAGTAGGTTCGGGCACTATAAAGGAAAGAGTAAAATAGGATTTAGAGTGGACTTTGATCAAAAGCTGAGAACTGCAGAGAATGAGAAGAAAAACTCCTTGGTTGCTTATTGGAAACGAAATAAAATGAGAGATGCCTTTGCTGTTGGAACACAGAGCACAGAGAGAAAGATAAACAGTTTGATATGCAGCCTGTTTAACTCCAGCTGGCAGAAGAAATTTAGTGAGAAATAGCTGATGAGGAAAGCAATACAAAGAGCTGCAAACAGGGTCAGAAGAGTTAGGAGGTGAATATTTTATAGACAAAAAAAATGTGACTGTATTATTTTTATGTTATGGAATGCACAAAGCTTTTTTAATATCTGCCCCTTTAAAAAATTATTGTAACTCTAAAATTTCATGAACATAGTCTGTTTACCAGTAATAAATTAAAATAACATTTTTTTGGATGTATTTATTTTTATTATTATATTAAAGACATAGGTGTCAGCTCAACACAAACTGTAAATCTTTCTGTTTGACTATTTTTTTAGTACCTGCCTGAGACACTTTTTCTTACTGAGGAAAACTGTGAGCTTTGTGGTCACCAGAGGGCACCATGGGGCAGGCTGTCCCTCTCCTCCAAGGTTGGCTCCAGGAAGGCAAAGGATGGTGGCTGTGACTCTGGAAGTCTGTTTCTTTTGTATTACCTGGTACTCTTGAAAATCAGGAGTGAGAGTGGGAATATTTTTTTTGTACTAACATAATTTTTTTTTTCAATAAAAGCTTATTTAGCATGATAATTTGTGCCTTCCTCAATAAAAATGAAAAAATAAACATGCAATAAATTTCAGCAATTTTCATAAAGTGTTCAAAAATATTAATATGAAGAAAGAAAATGAAAATCAGCAATGTGTGCAACTTAATTCAATGAAAACTCCTCACTAGTGCCTGGAAGAGAGGAGAGAGGAGAGGGGATGTATCCTGGGGATAATCCTTGGATCCAAGTATCAGGGCATCCACAATGTCATCCAGTGAAGGTGAAATCCATTTTCAGTTCAAAGAACAATTACTATGCTCTTTATCTCACCAAAAATGGTGTAGACACTAACTCAACTGCAAGCCAGAGCCCAGAACAAAGGGAAGGACAAGTAGAGTCACACAAACTAATTTATGGCTAAGGCATCCAGGACTTTGCCGAATATATTGGGAGGCGCAAATGAACCTAAAAATGATGATGATTATGTCTTTGTACTTAAAATGAACCTAGAGTATGTCTTCAAAAATACGGATTATTACATTTCTGCAAACCGGAAGGAAGATCATGGCATAAGAAGATCAGTTTGGGCAAAGACAATGATGGACGCACAGAGGAAGCCCAGAAAAACAGGACAAAGCCAGACACACCATCTGTCACTTACTCCACCTGCTATTGTACACAGTCATGATCTAGTTTTTCATGGAGTTAATACAGATGGAAATTAAAATAATTTTAATATCATTAGGTAGTTTATTAAAGGGAATTCATATTTAAGAATATATTCATAAATTTTATTTATTTATTTAGTGTATATGTATTTTTATTAAATTCAAAAAGTATATTCCTGTTTGGGATAGAAAAATGCTAACTACTGTTTTTATAAAAATAATATAATTATTATATTATAGTTTATTTTAAAATGTCATGATTGTATGATCGCATTTTGTTAAATACTTTCTACCATTTTCTTTCTATTGATGTATCTAGCCACCAAGCCAAATTCAATACGTTTTCTGTTTGAAGAGATATTTGTATCAATGTTCACCAAATATTGATGGCTAATTCTAGGTGCTTCTCCCTTTTCCAACTACATATCTCATGTCAAAAAAATTTTTTCAGCCAAAACAACATATCACAACAGATTGAATGCAGAAGTAGATATGAAAATTCAGCAGTTTTCAATTAAGCCAGGCATTTTTTAAACTGTAAAGGGATTTTTTAAACTGTAAATAATGTAACTTTCTCACAAGTACCTTACTTTGAAAAATAAAATATTTTTTCATAAAAGCATTTTTGTTAATGTAATGGTTCTGTCACAGATATTTTTAAACAAATGCATGTAAAGTTTTAATCAGTTTTAATTTCTAACATGGTAACTATTAACAGATTTAACTTACACAAACCAAAGCTTTTTGGGGTCCTCTATAATTTTTAAGATTGTAAAGGGGCCCCAAGACCAAGAAAATGAGAACTTCTATCCCAAATGTGTAACACTAAATGTATAACACTAAATGTATAACTCTAAATCAAATCTTTCTTATGAGCAACAACTCATATAAACATGTTTAACAGACAATTCAAAATAATCCAAAAGAGAACTCTTGATGCTATCCCAACCTGCCAATTTTACTCTCTCCCCAGTGTTTCTAATTTTGTTAAGTGGCACCACAGTTCACTTAGTTTCTCATCTCCTAAACCTGAGAATCATCACTGACTGATCTCTTCTACTACTCCCCAGATCCAATTCATGGCAAGTTCCATTGATGCTACTGCTAATCATATCACTTCTCACTACCCTCACAACTATCACTAGGGCAAGGCATCATCGTATTCTCTTGGCATCTTAAAATTAAACAAACAAACAAAAAACGTACTGAGTAAGGTTTACAAAGAGTAGCTATAGAAAAGAACAAATGTCTTCCATATCATCACCGTCATCATCACCGTAATATAAACACAGTAGAATCCAAATAGTTTAAATAATACAATAGTATTGGTTTTCATTTTTAATATAGTTGTTAATTATCACAATGATTCAGTTTTCTCTAACCAAATTCAAAAACCTTTAACTCAAAAGAATAAGTGATATTATATATTTCATATAACAACTTTCATTAAAAATCTAAGCATATAAACTTTGAAAATTTTAAAATGTTAGCACCAAATAAATTATATTTGAACATTTTGTTTCAAGAACTTTTTCATTTAGACAGAGGATTAAAACCTAAATTCTCTATGTTATTTTCATTAGATGCATAGTTCAACTTACCTTATCGAGTTCATCTGAAATTGCAATACCTGGGATTCAAGAGAGATTTATAAAAATGTTTTAGAAGCAATCTTTAATAATCTAATGTTAAAAACAAAGACAAAAGTTCTATTTGTAAAACTAGTGAATTTTCCATTCTATTTTTTTTTTTATTAGTGCTTCAAAATAATGTGGTACATCCTTTCTACTCATGAAAACAAAATTAGAAATTTAAGTCAACTACAACAGCACGAACCGCTGAAACAATGAAAATGAGGAAACAAAACCAAAGCAAGTACCATACTCGTTGTTAGATGCACAGCTAACGCACACAAAAAAATGTGGGGATGCAGCCTTTATTTTATAATGACAACCACGTTCTACTTAGCTCATTACAGTTTTGTTCATGCTTGTGAACTGATTGAGACCCCTGAAGTGATAAAATATTAAGGCAGAATGGTGGTTGGAGGTCATTTATTTTAATTCCCTCATTTTGCAGATGAAGTTACAGGCTAAAGAGCTTCAGGAATTTGTTCCACCGTCTCTTATACTCACAGATTCTTAAGCCAATGGACAAATGACTCTTCCTCACAAATCCCCTTCTCACCATCCACACATTCCTCACTGTGCATCTGTCTAATTTCTGTCTTTACCATTCCTCCAAAATTGTTTTAAGCCAGCAAGGTAAAAAGTTTAGTCCTGAATTTATTTCTGTGATGATAAATGCTGTTAAGCCCCCTCTCTTGAAACGCTGTCTTCTTTTCTACTCTCCGGCTTATCTCCACAGGAATCTTGTTCTTTGGGGGAAGGGAGTCCTTTCCTGAAATGTCAAGTGTTCTTTGCTGAGCTGTCTTTCTTTTCAGTTGATATACTTCCCTGGGTTATCCAACCTACACCATTAACATTTTTATTTCTCTATATGGTGATGATTAACAAGTCTTTATCTCCAGCACAGACTTTCTTCCTGAGCTAGTTGCTGAATTTCTATGGGCATTTCAGTCTCAACATATCAGGCCAAAGACATCACCCTCCCTTCATATCACGTCCCCTTTTTCTAAATGATACTGTGCCTAGAGCTAAACAGCGGTCCTGTGGCCAGGCACTGGAGCTAGGGTGGCCAGCCCTCAGGTTTGGGGCACAGGGCAGGGGAATATAGTTTCTAACCCCAGGGTGGGGTGGGCAAAGAGACAAGGAAAGGTCTGAAGTCTGAAGTCCAAGGGAACACAGAGATTGAAGCTAGCTAAAATTCAGCAGACTATAAAGTACAAGACAGAATGAGCTGTGTTAGGAAAGAGATCCTCAACGTAGTCTCAAGAAAATATGCCTACCCGGCCAGCGTGGATCAGTGGTTGAGCATTAACCCATGAATCAGGAGATCAAGGTTCAGTTCCCAGTCAGGGCACACGCCCGGGTTGTGGGCTCCACCCCTAGGAGGGGGCGTGCAGGAGGCAGCCGATCAGTGACTCATCATTGAAGTTTCTATCTCTGTCTCCCTCTCCCTTCCTCTCTTTGAAATTAATTTGAAATATATATACACATATATATATACATATATATACACACATATATATACATATATATACACATATATATATGTACACTTTTTTTTTAAAGAAAGAAAATATGCCTGAGTAAAGATTTCTCACGTGCTCAGGCACAGAAGGTCTGTAAGGGGTACTTCATGGGTTCCTAGATCCTCTCCCACTCCACTAACCTAATGAATCAATTACATACAAAGCAAAAAAAGATTGTCCTGCTACATCTCAGGAAGTGGCACATTCTTCCCCTTATAGAAGGAGACTCATTCGTCATAGCAATATTCTATACAATTATTTTTTTTTAGTAAAAGTAATTGGCAACTAAGAATTTTATGTGTTACTACACTAAGAAAAGAGTCTAGCTACCACTTTGGGAATTCTGGGTGACCTAAGCGTAACAATTATTCAAGGACTTGCTGTATTAATTAGCTCCCTCGAACACTGCAAGGAGAGAGGGCTTGGGGAACGAGCAGCATTGCAGCCGGCCAGTATCTGTACTGATGTGTGTGGTGGGCTCAGGGACATAATGGGTTCACGGTGGGGGAGGGCACGTGAGAGCAATGAGATCCCAAGGCTTTAGGAGCAATTATAAACATTTGTAAAAGCCTAACATAAGCACACATCGATGAATGTTTGGGTTTTAAAATACATATAAAATTACAAATGGTCACTTGGAATAACTCAGATTTCAGGATAATGTATGAAATTTTAGAGAACACCAAATGGTTTATGTCACAGTCTACAATATATTTAAAATAATAATTTCAGTTTATAAAAACAAAATAAATATTTTAAATGCTTCCATTTGCATTTAATACAACAAAAATGTTCCTTTCCAATATGAATTCGAGATTAAAACTGAATATATTGTTTAAAAATAAATATTTAAAAGACTTATCTACTTTAAAAAGAGGGAAAGAGTAGATACATAAAACAAAATTATCTTTCTCATCCAAAGGCTTTATAAAACATAGATTGCTGGACTTAGATAACCCATGATCTCATTGTCTGAGATTTTTGAAACACTCTTGATTTTTTTTTAAACTTTTTGCATTAATGCCCTTGGCCCTGCAAAAAAGAGTTTTCTCATTAAATTTTTAGAAAGCTATCAGTTAATCTTTAAATTTCTTTTACACCTCAGTTTATAAATCCATTATTCATAAAGAGAACAATAATACTTCACCTATCTAGACTGTAGCCAAGAACAAACAAGTCAAAAGGCCTCTGAATAGTCAAAATCTGTGTCACACAGAACTTGCCCGTCACCCATGAGCTAGTTCCTTGGATCCTCTGTCCACTGACCACCACTCTCAGCTTTAGCAACTATCAGTAGCTGTTTTTGCAAAGCCAAGAAATGTTACCAGTGGAAAATGGAGATGAAGAGAAAGGTTGCCATGAAGACATACTAACCTACTAAGAAGTGATGGGTCCCAGAATAAAATGCAAACTAGGTAAATGGGAGACTTGCCTTAGGGAAATAAATATGCCTCTAACAGTTTGAAGTGTTTGCTCAGACATATTTGCTCAGATACCATTGTTATATTTTTTAAACATTTACATATTTTGATGATTTGCCTAATAAATTATCTAAATAATTCTCCATTCTATTACACATAGTTACTTCCGCTCCCTATTATCAACGTCTAATTACTTAGAGTATTTTTCACTTTTTTAATTTTGCTTTTAATCAAAACTTAAACTGGCTAAAAGCAGTTGAAAGAATTTTAAAGAAATGCCTCTTTCCAGAAGCATGAAGCTCCAATGGGAACCGTTTACAATGAGCAGCCAGGATATTTCTCCTAGTGCCTAGCACAACCTTCACAGCTACTCATGAACTCTTAAAAGCCATACTATTTTAAGATAGTATTTTCAAAAGATGTAGGAACTTGGGAGCAGTGGTGAACAGAAAATATGTACGAGAAAATGTAGTGAGTGGGTTTCTGCAATATGTTGTAAAGGAGAAAGGCCCAGGATTTGATGGTGGGACTCGATGCTGCAACCCATGGTCTTCCTAAACACCAAACTGAGATCTTAAAGGAAATTTTGTCCAAACAGAGTAGTCAGGCTACAAGTCCCTATAGCACAGAAGTCCCCACCCCCCACGCCCCTGCTACCCAGACTTCCATTTTCATGGCCTTTATTACCAGCCTCATCCTTGGTGCGTCAACAACACAAAATTTTCTTTTCCTTCACATACCTTCTCACACACATGCTTCTCTCTCTACGAGAACATCCCTCTCCGTGAAACATCTCAGCCTCCTTTTACCTTGGCTAGACTCTATTCTGGTATATCCTCAGCAGGTTATCCCTGAGCCTGGGGGCTCTTCTATGCCTCCAGAGCTTTCCCAAAGCACCCTTCGCAAGGCTTTTTGCAGACATCTCCCCATTAAAGGTAAACTTGAGGTCTGGGTGCATGCAGTGACCACCTCTGTACTCCCGCATAAATGCCTGGAGACTGGATAAATGAATGCTGGGATGAACGAACAAACAATTGCCACATTATCTGCTTTGATTTTCCTGCACAGGCTGATACTCTCTAACTCAGAGATTTTCAGCTGGTGTGCCACAAGAATTTTTAATACATGCAATACCTGACTATTTAGTCATGAGCACTGACCTCTTTTCCCTTACACTGCCAAATAAAAATGACAACAGCCAGCACAATAGCCATCCAGTGTAAATGCATCAAAATTATACTTTTTTTTGGTCAGATCAGCAAAAAATATTATACAATTTTTGGTGTGTCTCAGAATTTTAGTGATTAGTTTATGTGTGCCATGAGATGAGAAATGTTGAAAATTGCTGCTCGAACTTCTCAGGCTGTTTGTCAGACAAGACTTTCTGGGTATGTTCTTGACTGACATACTCAAAACCATGTGCTGTTTTTTTTCTTGGTTGAATGCAGATTGTTATTATCAGTCATGGAGCACAAATATCTGTCCACTGTTCTACCAACAGCTGACGTTTTTCCTTGGTAAGGCTCCAGCCAGTATTGTCACATGAACTATGAACTACAGATCAATGTCTGGATGGACTGAAGATTTATCGTATCATTGCCTCAGTTCAGAGAAATCTGCCAAAAGTAGCAAAAGCATTAGGTTCAAAAAGTATTAGAAGTCTTGCTACCCTGGGAGAGCACCTAATGAGCAAAGGGTTGTGTTGACCAATATCATATAATAGGGAGCTGCTGCTCTTTAGCTTTTAGTTTATTTATTTACCTATTTACTTAACTATTTTTAAGCACAATTCCTTCAATAGATAAGCCATGATAAAAGCCAAAGATATTAAATCTATAAACACCAAAACACATGTAATCTGAGACCAGATGCCCACACTTAGAGAAGAAGATGGGGAACCTGCAGTGAAGAAAGAGTGAGGGTGGGGTCTCAGAGAAGAGGGGTCAGGAAGAAACGAAGCCAGAGGTAACGAATCCTGAGTTCTGTATGCACTAATCACTGTGCTTTGTGCTGGGGAGTCCAGGCTCAGAGGGCCCTGCCCGCAGGAAGCTCAGAGTCCAGAGAGGGGATAAGTGAACATTAGATAATAGCAGATAAGTATATTCAGAGAAAAGTAGAGCAGCACAAAAAGACAGGCATCAAACTCAGTCCAGAGGGGACAGCAACAGAGAATCAGCTTGGAGGAAGAAGCTTTGAGCTGAGGCTAAAGAGAGGAGTAGAATTTCACTTGGGGGAAATGGAAGCAGTGGAGGGAAGCAGGGGTGAGATCTCAGGGCACGCAGACAGCATAAGCAAATGCATGAAATAAGGAACATCAGTGAGGGTGAAAAATTCTCATGTTGCTGGTGCATAAATAGCCTGGTAAGCATGAGAGGTAATACCAGAGACATGATTAGGGCCAGGTCATAGAGCACCTTCTATGAGGTTTCAGGAAGCCATTGAATATCTGAGACAAGTGAGTGTCAGGTTTTCACTTTAGATCCATCACACTGGTGGCAGTGAGAGCCAGTGAGAGGAAGGAAAAAACAAGTTAAGAGTGTGGGCAAGACAGTTATTTGTTTCTCGAACCATCCAATAGTTCTGCTGGACAAACAAGCTAGACTACATTTCCTGGCCTCCCTTACCCTTAGCTGTGGAATGTGGGCAAATATAAGGCTCTGTGTTTCCATCTCTAGGCATAAAGAAGCCTCCCCCATAATCCTCTCCTCTCTCCTTCTGCTTCAGCGGGACCCCTGGAAGTCATGTGCTGAAGATGGCAGAATAACAGATGGAAATAGTCTGCACCACTGGCTCACTTCACAGGCTATTCCCTAAGTGAGAAAGTTCTTGTATTGTATGAAGCCACAAGATTTTGGTGATGAGACTCCACTAAAATAAGGTTATGGCAATATAACCAGACACAAGCTCAGTAAGGGCAGGAACTGCGCCTGTTTTTCCTGACATGGGGCAGGAATGAAATGGAACATGTTAAATGGATAAACCAATGATCTAGGCAATGTCATTGGGAATGTGAACTAGGGGGTACTAATAGGTCTGGAGAAGAGAATAAGGCCCAAGACATACTTTAGAAGGAAAATGAGCAAGATTTGGTAAGAATTGATTTTGGACAGTTAAGGGGGAGAGAAAAGAGTCCAGAAGGGCTCCAGTTCAGGTGAGTGGGTAAGCAATGGCGCCACCATCTGAGGCAGAGCATGCAGAAGAATGGTCACGCCTGAAGGAGATACGATCTACTCTGACATATTGAATTTAGCATGGCAGTGAGATATCCAGGTGGAGATATGTTTTAGGCATTTTGTTTCAAAAGCATATAGAGTCTGAATGGGAAAGACAGTTAGTCCTTGCCTAACGTCACCAATAGGTTCTGCAATTTTAAGCCAAGTGACATACAATAAAACCAATTTACAATAGGCTGGTTGATATAAACAAAATTTTCTATGGTATCGCATCAAGATTTATAGATATTAGTATAAACCCTTGACATATTAACAGGATAAAGTTATTTTCACAAACATAGTATAGCAATAAACTGAAAACTCACTTTATCATTTTTGCTTCAAAAGCAAATCATAGGTGGCGGAGTAAAACCTCTAACCTAGGCCCTTGGATTACAGAACCATTGCTTTTACAAAAAGTATGTCACAAGACACTGTGCTAAGCTCTGAAAGGATTTTAACAAGAATCTGGCCCAGTTACTAGCCTTAAGAAATGTAGAGACATTAAAAACTCATGGAAGCAATAGGAGTGTGTGTTAAATAAGGTGGCATAAAACAAAAGGTGTTCAAAAGAGAAGAATGAATAAGACACCATTAGGTGTACACCTTGGTAACACATACATTGTAGAGAGGAGTCAAATAACCATGGGGGGAGGGGGATGTCTATAGCGCCTCCTATTCTGTATAAATAGTCTTCCCATTAATCTGTGTGATATGCAAGATCAATCCTCAGTTCCAATCTCTTTCCTTTAGAACTCCTCAATCTTTCCCAGAATTTTAATAAGGATGTTGGAAATGTGTTATCGACAATATTAATGAATGTTTCTACTTTAATATTGGTTAGGAATTTCAATTATAATTAAATAACTGAACTTACTTCGAGAGAGCTTCTCAAGGGCTTTTCCCAGCTTCCTGCTCTCTTGAAGGATGTGGTTCAATTCATCAAAATCACGGTTTTCTGGTTTAGTTCGCCAGTTCCACTTAGGATGATCTACTGACCTTGACACTACGTTTAAAAAAAATGATTACTTCATAAGCATGCTACATAGTGATAAAAACAAAATTCATCATTATGTGAAAGATTGTATCAAGATCATGTACAGAATTAAAATGTTTGTCTTAGAAATGGTTTTCTTGTAAGCAAACAGTGGGGGAATTATAAAGCCGGGTTTTAAGAAATGTTTTAAATGAACAAGTAGAGGGAAGTGTGATGGTGTGTACAGAAAAAAGAAAATTCAGGTACAGATTTAAAACTCATAATTTATATAATTTAAGGAAAACATATAAGTAAAATAGATTATGTTTATATTCTGGCAGCTTAAAAATAATCACTAACTTCTTTATCGGCAATTAGTAAATATTTCTGAGACATTCTTGTTGTCTTCTAATAAAACATAGAAGATAGTACTTATGTTCATTTCCCTTCAAATTCCAAACTACCACTAAAAAAAGTATGTTACAGTAAAGGGATTTTATTTATTTATTTATTTATTTATTTTGGACAACAAATTAGTTAAACCAGGAGAGAAGACATTATTAAGCAAGAAATAGTACCATAGTTTATTGGAAGATGCAAAATGGATTGATGAGTGGTAAACAAATTCAGCAAACTAGAGAATATTGAAATCTAGTCCCTGAAGAGAGAGATGCCCTCCAATAGTGGACATTTCAGACCATTTAAGCATTAAAGTATCAATAGAGGACCAATGAGAAAGGAATAAAAATATAAAAACTTTATAAAGTTTACAAAGTTATTCAGATTGGAAAAATTCATTGAATGTCCAGTATAATTCAAGGCATATTATCATGAAATTTTACAACAGTGGCAATAAAGTAAAGCTCTTAAAAGCTGTCAGAAAAAAAACAGCAAATCAAATTGTCATCAGACTTCTCAATAGCAACACTTCTACCCAGAAGACATGGGAGAAATTCCTTCAAAATTTCAACTGAAGATTACTTCCAACTTAGAATTTTATACCCAACTAAAGGATCAATCAAGATACTTGCAAGGACTCAAACTTTATTTTGCAAGCACTTTTTTTTTTTCCAGAAAGCTCCTGGTAGAGGTTCTCCACCAGAATGAAAAGTGGAAAGACTTCGGACTCAGGGAACAGGTGGTCCTCCATAAGAAAAAGTAAAAGGGATCCCCAGGATAACAGTGAAGAGCAATCTTGGGAGACAGGTGAGAAAGTGGCTAGGAACCAAGGAGCCAAGACTGTAGCAAGAGGAAAGAGGGCTGGAAATTACCATATACTATCAAGAATTTTCTTTTTTTAATTTACAAAAGAAGAAAATAAATTTTTGAAAAATTAGTCCCAATTAATATTACCGAATAACCAACAGACATGGCCAGCTGCCAAATCATCCCAGCCCTTGCAGACCTACCAACTGAATGCACCAACATGGCAAGCCCAGATGAGACCAGCAGAAGAACTGCCCCGTCAATCGATTGAATCATAAGAAATTATAAACTGATGTTCTCTTCAGCCACTGAGTTTTAGGGAGGATTTATGATAGAGAACTGATACAACACTCAAGGATTTTCCTTAGCAACTATCAAGAGGAACTACAGAAAAATGTAAATATTTTGTAGCTTGTGATGATTTGATACATACATACATATATATCCAATTCATCAAGGAAACCAAAATCTAGAACAATCAAGGCCACAGTATTATCATGGTCTAATCAACTACACTGGGTGATTCCTCTTTTACTGCCTATGTTTTGGGAGCATAAATTGTGTTTTTCTTTTGACATCCCATTTTAACTCATCTACTGATTTTTTATTTATGACATTTTATGCTTCGTAGTGTTGCTTTACATATAATATGCATTTTAACCTATCCTAGTATAAGTTCAGAAGATATTTTATTACTTCAGGAACAATTTAATATATTTTGACAATGTATTTCTAATTAATAATTCTGAATCCTATGTTCTTATTGTTATATATGTAATCTCTACAAATACTATAAAAAACTCACTTTGTTATTAATTTTGCTTTAAAAAGCTAACAGTTGGGAGGAACCAGAGGTTGGGAGTAGGTCACTTGAACAGAAGGAGATATCATCTGATGCCAGATCACCAGCAACATTCTGTGACTTGGCAGCATCCTGAAAGGAGCACAGGCTCTGTAGAATGAGCAGCCTTTTAGCATTCTTCTCTAAAATTGATGGGATCCAGTACTGGCCCCTTTAAAATTGGTAAGCCTCTAGCGTTATGGGTTTATCATTGGGGAGGGGAGGGGTGGTAAGGAGGAAGGGAATGAGTGAGGGAGGGAAAGAGAGGGACAGACAGACACAAAGAGAAAGTGAAACAGAAATAAACATAGGGGCCCAGCCGGACATGGCTCAGCGGTTGAGCATCGGCCTAGGACCCAGGAGATTGTGGTGCAGTTCCTGGTCAGGGCACATGCCTGGGTTGTAGGCTCGATTCCCGGTGGGGGCCGTGCAGGAGGCAGACGATCAATGACTCTCTCTCATCATTGATGTTTCTATCTCTCTCTCTCCCTTTGCCTTCTTCTCACTGAAATCAATAAAGATATANAGGGAGATAGGGGCTTCAGTAATAAATAATAAGTAGGACTTCAGGGAAATAATGGGTGAAGGACTTTATAAAATTTTGTTAAATGTTTTGAGTGCAAATCTCCTTCACTCCTCTAAAAGATTTAATTTGCCTTCATGTACTTTATTAAATGTAGGGTGGGTGTTGCTTTGAATATAATACAATGCTGCAACTGGTCATAAGAGGCAAGGGACCCATTCCAGGCAATATGCATTCTTAAGAGTATGCTCAAGAAGGTCTAAGCCTATCGCATATGTAGGTGCTAGGTGGAGGGGGACAGAGGAGGGAGGAAATGGGGGACATCTGTAATACTGTCAACAATAAAAAATAAATTTAAAAAAAGAATATGAATAAGTTACTGGATATCAATAAAGCTCAATGCTCATGCTGAAATAAATAAAAAATTCATTAAGATTAATAGCCAGAAATATCAAATAGAAAGTTCGGCTTCTATTCTTACCTTTTCTTTCGCTTTATTAATAACATAGACTTATATACATTAAGTAATTTTTGAATGACAAACTTCCTTACATGATTTGGATTCTGGTGATGGTGGAGAAATATTAGACACAGCAAGGTCACTTTTTGACTTTTTTGGCTTCTTTGCACTTAATTGCCAAGGCTTATCATAGCTTCTCAAATCCCTTCTTGTTCCTTTATGTTCTGTTAAAACAAACAAACAAACAAACAAACATATAAATATATATCCTCAGTAATAAATGATTTCAAGAGTCATAAAAAACTAAATTCATGAACTCATTAGGTGCACTCAACAAAACCTACAGGTCACCTTCCAGCAAATATAATGCAAATATCCAAAAGCATGTGTTGCTTAATTTCCCCTGTAAATTTTAGTTATCAATTTGATATGAATCAGTTTGTATAGGAATATGATTAAGATCATTTTAAACTGTGAAATTATTTGAAAGGCTTTTAAAGGCATGGGTTGCCATTACTTAAAATAAGCATACACACTTCTCATCCCATTAACCTGACTACTTCTGTCTCATTCATTGTTTCCTCACCTTCCTCTTTCATCTAGGTGGTATTCTTTAGAGTTTCTTTCTGTCTTCTTGTTTAAATTTATAAGTTTCCAAATCACCCTACCTTTATGAAAGACCCATACATCTTTCTCTGGCCACCCTCTTATAAATACCAAATAGACATCATGATACATCATATGGATTCCTCAAATGTTCATGTTAAGGTTGTACTTAACTAGGTGTTATCCAATTTTTCTATCTCTGACATTCCATTAAATACCAAAAGGGGTATAAATATTCTAAAGCACTAGGAACTGAAATATTTGTCTGTGGTCTGCCAGAACTGAGCTGGTATTTCTACAGATAGGATTAAGACACAGAGAGGCGAATCAGGAAGATATTGGAGGATTTCAAGACATCCACAAAGCTTGCCCCTATCTCAGAGTTATCTCCTTATGTTGTTTCATAATCTCTCAGAATTTTTCTTTCTACATCCATCCTAGCATCATAATTTCTTCTAATGCAATATGGGTAAAGGAACAAAGAATGCTGTTTATAAAATATAGCATCTCATGATACAAAGAAAAGCTAAAAGGAACCAGAGAGAAAAGATACATTGGACTTTGCGACTTTTTAAATTCTCTGCTACTGGCAAGGAAAAAAGTCCACATTAATTTAAATAATCTAGTAATAATATTTTTCTTATTTAGTTGTCTGAAAAGAAATGAGGCAGAAAGTCACTCATCAGTTTAGCAGAGACCCACAGGATTCGACTGATACTGGAAATTTTAGTAGCAGCTATGATTTTACCTCTCTCTAAAATTTTTAAAAGTATTCAAAAAGTTCTAAGCTATATGGTGAGAGGACAAATTAGAGCCCACCTATACATTTATTGACAATCATAAAACTGGGCAGAACAGTCTTCATTTCAATTTGAATAAACAAAAAATATGATTTTAAGAAAATAAATATACAAATCAAGAATACAACATTCAAGATGCAAAGGAAACTGATAGTTTTACAAAAGATTTATTATTGAAAGTGTTCAAATTTTAGATTGTGGTTAACTTGTCAATAAAAATAAAAGACAATGGATTCTTTGAACCAAAAAGAAATGAGAGGGGAGATAGGCTAACCAGCCTATGATAAAAATATAAGTGCAGACAGAAATAAAAAAAGATGAGATAAGGAAATACAGAAAGCGAGCTGAAATGCAATACGGACACTTAAATTTGTGTTCAAAGTCAGGAAGAGAAAACTGATGCTATAGGAAATTGAATCGGTGACACAGAGAACACATTGACAAAGAAATCCCCCTAGGAGTTAGCCTATAGAGAAAGGCAAATACCACGTGAAATGGAATGAGAGGAAGAGAGAACAGTACTTCCACATACTTGATTTTCCTTAAGAAGAAATCAAAATAGAAGCAACAGATACGTACACAAAAGGAAGATGTTCCAAGCTTACGACCTGGATTTGCTGGTTTTAGACTCATACCTGCGTGCTGGAATTATCTACTAAGATGTCCCACATGAAATTCAAATTCATCAATAGGAACTGGACTTATTATTGTCATTCATAAATTTAGTCCTGTGTTCCCATCTTACTTTACTAAACAAGCATTTATGCCATTACTCAAGTCAGTAGACTGGGAGTTATAAAACTCTCCTTCACCCTCTCTAAGCAATGCATCATTAAGTACTTGTGCCAGTCAGAATTTTAAGATGATCCCCATGATCTCTGTACCCTGATGTTAAACCTTGCATAATTCCTTCCCTTTGAGTGTAGACAGGATCTTTCACTTACTTCATACCAATAGAAGATGGCAAAGATGATGGGATGTCAATGCTATGATTATGTTATGTTATATTATGTTATGTTATATAGGACTCCATCTTATTAAGCTTGGATGAGATAAATTCTCTTTCTAGTTTTTAAAGAAGTAAGCTGCCATAATGTGAGAGAGACATGTGGCAAAGAATTGCACGTAGCATCTAGGATTTGAGAGCAACCCGGGCTGAAATCCAGCAAGGAAACAGGGACCCCTAGTCATATAACTACAAGGAAATTAATTCTGGCAATAACATAAATGAGTTTGGAAGCAGGTTCTTTCTTATTCCAGACTCCAGATGAGAAAGTAACCCAGCCAATATCTTGATTTCTAGACTTGTAAGATTAAACAAAGGGTTTAGTTAAACTTCTGACCCATGGAAACTGTGAGATACTAAATGTATGCTGATTAAAGCTACAGTTTTATACCCTAGTGCCTCTCCTATTTATACTATAACATAAATACAGGCTCATATGAGCTTCATTGGGCTCACAGATGTTCATCTGTCCTGCCCTAACACGATGAATGCCTTCTTTGTGCCTACAAACCAGAGTCCATGCCTATATACCCAAGTTACTCAGTGCCTAAACCCAAGAAAGTGAGGCCAGGAAAAAACAAGATTTCCCTCTATCGTATGCCAAAAGGTCATATCCTAGTTTTCTGTATGATGCACATAACTTCCATATAGATACCTTACACCAGAGATGTCTACATTCTTCAAGGAATCCCCTAAACCTCATGTGCTTTAGTGTTGTTTGGAGACATGGTCTCAAAAAGGTACCAATATGAGAATACAGCCAAAGAGACCAAAATCCTTGCAAGGGATCACTAGATCATGAAGAGGGCGAGAGAAGTGAGGGTGTCATTCCAGCAAAGCATTCGGAGGCCTGGCAGTCAGATTCCCATGGGAATCAGGCAAGGAGTTGGCTACTGAAGAAACAGGCATGGGGGGGCATCTGGTTTTGGAAGTAAATGCCAAACCAAGAGACCAGTGTGTAGAAGAAAAAAGGTTATCTTATAATCAAAGAGGGTGAGATAATATCCAATTATCTCACCAGTGCTTACTAGGAAGATGAGGCTATTGCCTCATAGTAAAGCTGGTTCCCCAATGTTCAGAGTAAATGAATCTTCCTAAGGTTGAACTTACTACACAGGTAAAATTGGGGCTGAGGGAAATAGAGAATAATCATTAGTTTGGGAAACAAGAAAGTAGAAATCTATTGTTTACCTCTCTACAGATGAGCTATAAGCATTTAATTCAAATTCTTCATAAAAAGAAAGAAGCTTAGAATAATTAACTTGAATTCACATGAAATTAAATCTTTTCATGAAAATTGAATCTTATTTCTATAAAATTTGATACAAATTCTCATATTTTGAAGCATAATACTTAACAATATTTTCAAATTTAAGAATGTTTTATGACAAATTTTGGCATAGGGGTGAAGTTACAGATTAATACATGGACCCCTAGGTCACCCCATCTAGACTTATCTTATTACAATCAGAAAGACTTTTGTAAATTTTTACATTAAATATATCAAAATTAACTATAAAATATATTGCTTCACTTACCAGATGTTTCACTTTCTGCCCAGAGGGCTGCAGATCCAGATAAAGTTCTCTGAAGCTGTCCACGGTGTCCTTGTTTGGACTGAAGATGGTCAATGAGAAATGGGATTGGCTGGTCAGGTGTCTCAGTTATTAATTTGGTCATTAATTCCTGAAGGCAGAATAGAAAACACATTTACATCTAATAATAACAGTGAACACAATTAGCACTTACTATTGCCAGGCACTGTTCTAACTGCTTTATGTACAACAACTAATTTAATCCTAATAGCAATCTTTTCAGGCAGGTACATGCTTTTGACCTCATTTTGAGGAAACTGAAGTGCAGAAAAGTAAGTGGTCTATATTACACGGCTAACACATGGCAATGCCAAGGTATAGACTTTTCATTTTTATTTTTACTATTCTACTTGGCCAAAGATATACTGGCAATTTAATCTAAACTCTAAAATTACGGTCTAAGAACTTGAAACTTCAGATTACCATTCTGAGAGATACCATTATATACTAAACTTGCTAAACCTTACCATATACCTTATATACCAATGGTATTTTTTCTTCTTAACCACATATAAATATTCAAAAAATGAAGAAAACTTAATTGGAATTAAATGAACAAGTAATAAGTCACAGAAACCAAAAAGTGTCTCAAACTGACTCCAAACAATACAGAATTTCCTCTCTCCAAAAGCCCTGATGGGAATTTATTCTTTCTTCTTTTTTTAACCAGTTAAGCAAGGGAGACTCCTCTACCTGTCAAACAGACTGTTCCATTTTTTGATAGCTCTAATGATGTCTTAAATTGGGCAGAAATCTGACTAAGGGTAATATCTACACCTTTTTTTCCCTGTCAGGAACAGGAAAGAGCAAGCTCCAATGTGTGGTCAGTTAGAATCCCCAGACTGTTCTCATATGAACAGCTGCTAAACCACATGGATGTGCTGTGTAATGGGTCTTCCATGCACCATTTTATATTCTTAACACTCACAGTTCATCTTGTGGGTTTTAGCCCATAATTTTAGTCTGTCAATTATCATTGTAAGTTCAGAATTTGTGAGAGGCAGTGGTTCTTGTGAGTAGGCCAATCAGATATCTGAGTGCTAACGAGACCGATACTAGAAATTTCCCATCCCATTGTTTTTGTTGGTTGCCTATTTCCTCTGCCTTGAGCACTTTTCTCTCAGAGGTTGACTGACTTGTACTCATTCATCTCTAATGATACCTTCTTAGATACCAATCCTCATAAATCTTTATCACTTCCTTCTTTTATTTTCTTCACATCATGTAGCACTCTCCAGAATCAACTCATTTAAGATTTGCTCATCTGTTTGTGCTTGTCTCTACTCCTCTCTACTAGAGCATTAAGAACAAGGACTGCCTGGTTTGATCTAAACTCTCTCCCTAGGGCCTGGAACTCTACTGCTCATAGGTGGTGTTGAATGAATGAATGAATGAATGAATGAATGAATGAATGTTTAGCTTACTGACCACAGGTAAATGTTAGTTATTAAAGTGCCTTCCTGTCCTAATAAACAATATTTCTTTCTTTTTTTTTTTTTAAAAAAAAAAATATCTTTATTGATTTCAGAGAGAGGAAGGGAGAGGGAGAGAGAGAGCTAGAAACATCAATGATGAGAGAGTCATTGATTGGCTGCCTCCTGCACCCCCCAACTGGGGATCCAGCCCGCAACCCAGACATGTGCCCTGACCAGGAATGGAACCGAGATCTCCTGGATCCTAGGTGAATGCTCAACCGCTGAGCCACTCCCAGCAGGGCCTAATAAACAATATTTCAAGCAGAGACTTCTTAGCACAGCAAAATATATCCTTCTGACCTCCTATACGAGAAACTGCTGTCATGATATCTCAGGGATATTAATTGACATTTATAATAGTCTAGGAACACAGAGATTCACGTGAGTAGAGGCCAAATGGATTTTGTAAATGAGAAGATTCCAAAGTCATCTCAGAGACATGGATAAAACAATTCAAGGTATCACAAAACTGTACAGACTTAAAATAGGATTGGAAGTAAAAGGAGCGAAGGAATTATATCACAAATATACCATGAAGCAAAATATCAGACAAATGTAATACTTTTAATATTCTAAAAACAAGTAAGCAAACAACCAGTTGACACAGGTCTTCTTTATTTCTGTTTTTAAAATATCAAATTTTTTAATTTATTTTTATTTCTCATGTATTCTAAGGCCACAGATAACATTTATTTATTTATTTATTTTCTCCCCATTGACCCCTTCTACCCCACCCCACCTCCTCCCCAGTCCCTTACCACACCATTGTCTGTGTCCTTGTGCTTTACATATATGCATATAATTCTTTGGTTAATCTCTTCCCCCCTACCCAC